AGTCACAACTCAATCCATTATACGTACACAGACACCCATTAGTAACAATTCAACAGAAGAAAACGACAGTGAAAGGGCAATCCAAGAGACACCCAACCCGCAGAATATCCACCCGCACCATTAAGAAAGAGAAGGGAGAAGAAATCCCTTCCTAAAAACCCAAAAGCCTCCCAACCGAGAATCCTCTGATGTTGCCTCTGTGTGTGTTCTGCTAAAAACCAAAACTCAACCCCTCTTTACAAAGACATCAAACCAAAAGCCCCCTCAACCCAGAATCTTCTGTGTGTGTTTTGCAAAAACCCTAAAATTGAGTGCGTATGTTTGTGGTATGCGCTGTGGGTGTGTGTGTGCAATGTGATATCGATCACTCTCCCTAATGGGGGTTAGTGTGTCTGTAAGAGAGATAGAGAAAGATCAGGAATACCTGAGAGGAATTAGCAGTGGCGGTGGTGCTAGTGGTGTCGCTAGGGGCGCAAGAGAGAGAAAGAGGGGTCAGATTTTTGAATGAGTGAAAGGGAGGAAAAAAAAAAAAAGAAACAGAAGATGTAGCCGGAGAGACATGACTCGTTTGATAGAAGAGAGGGAAAAAAAAAAAAGAAACGAGTGAGGTGATTGAATATTGATTGAAAAGTCAGAATTTTGAAAAATATTGTTTGTGAAAAATGATAATTTTGAAGAAAAAAATGATGATATTGTGAATAATTTTAGGTCGTTAGATAAATTGATTTAAGACCATTAAATGTTGAAATCGTCTAATTTTATATTATAAATTTATTTAATTTATATTATCGTGCACGATAGTTGTATTTAATTATCTCAAACCGTTAATTAAGAAGCTGCGTGCGTTGTGGCGTCAACCGCATCTCGAGCTCTTCATCAACTCCTCGTTCATTTCTCTCCTCATTGAAATAGTTTGTAGAGTCGTCTCGTCTTACCTTCCGATCAACGAGATAAATTTAGAATATTTACCGTTGTATGAAAAAATGCTTGCAATCGGAAATCTATCGTTGATTTGGCGTTCTTCGCCGGACTTTGAGGTAGCAGACTCGTCGTCCTCGTATCTGCCGGTGAAGTTTGGTTTTGTGAAGTTGTCCGTGTCCAATTGCAGAAGCAAAAGCTTGGGGCTGAATGGGACGGAGCTGAGGTCGAGCGTTTTGGCGTCGATTAAGGCAATGGACGTTTCGAGAACGTCTTATATTAACGGTGAAGCTGATAATATTCCGGATTTGCACCAATCTGAATGCAATGTGAACGACGATGAATCGAATGGAGTTTCGGGTACTAATTTTTGCTAATTTCAGATTATCTTCTTTATGGAAATTTGAAATGTTTAAGTGTACTCTCATTTACCGAAATAAACAAAAAGAGATTTGAAATGTGGTGAACTTTATATCTTCATGTATATATCTCTATTCTCTGCGCATGTATGTGTACATTTGTTGGTGCTACACATTTATGCAGTTATTTGACGTGAATTTGTATTTCCCATTTTTATTATTATTATTATTTTTGGGGAGGGGGAAGAGAACTTGTAAACAAAGTATCAAACACCCAATTAGGCTTCAATTCACTTCTGATTTATCTTAAATACTAAATCTCCAAAATGAATTCTAATTTTTTGACACTTTGACTTTGTAACTAGGACTAGGCTAGTTGGCCACCTGGACCAACTAGGGCGCAGGGGGTCAATTCTTGTCAAAGATAAGTATTAATCTCTTATATCCCATTCTTTGAGGGTTGTATTTAAGTTCTTTGTCCGCCGGTGTTGTATATTGCTCTTCTTACGGGCTTGTTCCTTGCTGGCATATCCAAAAAAATTATGGATACTGTGAAAGGTCATAGGTACTGTAGCTGGTTGCGTCTCTAGTTAGTCAAGTCATGTGATCGTAACCCTTATTGTACCTCCACGTTTGCGAAGGGGGACAATTGTGTAAGTATGGGAATTGTTTGGGGAGGGCTACTCCATTTTATGAATATGACTAATTGGTTTGCACTAAAAAAATTATTTGGATTCTAATCATTTGCTGGTTATCTAACTAGGTAAGACGCTCCGTCAGATGTCTACGGTCGGAAAGTCCACGAATATTGTTTGGCAGAAATGCTCAGTCGAGAAAATTGACCGGCAGGAGTTGCTTCAGCAGAAAGGTTGTGTCCTATGGATTACAGGTCTCAGTGGTTCAGGTTTGTGTACACAACTGTCAGTTTTCATTAGCTACTTGAATCAAATATGATTGGCCCTTGGGGATATATTTGCTGTATACTTTGTCATACTTCTTTACTGTTTTGATGTTTAGATTTGAACTTGCTCATAGCGTCATTCTAGTGCACAACTAATATCATTTGAAGAGACAGAGACTAAAGAGTCTGGATACGACAAGAAAAAAACACATGGTGAGAAAGTAATAATAGAATTAAGAATTAGATTATCAGGATAATTGGGGAACGAGAATTGTGTATTGTCTCAACTACATAATGGTGAATGCTAACAAATCATACATGATGCGTTGATTTAAGCAAAGCAAAAAGTGAGGTGACATACGAAACTCTCTCTTTAGGGTAATAATATTTAGTCTTCCGTTAAAAGTAAGATATTTATCAATGTTAATGTCTGGGAAATGTAAGTATCTGAACATTTTGTACTGACTTTTCTGTGAAGACCAATGAATCAGGTTGGTCAGGACGGTGCAATCTTTAACTGAGTGCCACCAAAGAAATAAATATCTCGATATGACCACAGCAATTATGTTGAACTTAAGTAAAATGTAGCTGGAGTATCCTATTCTTTTTTTATGTTTTTCCCTTTCTTTTCTTTTTTCTCGGGCATCAGAGAATCATTCATTTTGTTATTCTCCTTTTTTATTTTCTGTGATCTTGATTTTCAATACCTTGAACTTTTACTTCAGGAAAGAGCTCTTTGGCATGTGCTTTAAGTCGAGGCTTGCACTCTAGAGGAAAACTGACTTACATCCTTGATGGTGATAATGTTCGTCATGGTCTGAACAGTGATCTAAGTTTTAAAGCAGAAGATCGTAGAGAGAACATACGACGGATTGGTTGGTTCTTTTCCAGCCTAACTCATGAATAGACTTTGTTCCCAAATCCGCTCCATTTATTCTTTTTCAGATGATGCTCAAATTCTGTATATTTATGGTTCACAGGGGAAGTAGCAAAGCTCTTTGCAGATGCTGGAGTTATTTGCATTGCCAGTTTGATATCTCCCTACAGGAAGGACCGAGGTGCATGCCGTGATATACTTCCAGAAGGAGATTTCATTGAGGTTGGTTCTTCAGCCCTTTGGAATTAATATGAAGGCAAAAAGAGAGTTTTTGAACTGACAACAGTCAATTCTTTCCAATAGTAACTGACAAATCTACCTCTACATACAATTCACAGGTATTTATGGATGTGCCTCTCCAAGTGTGCGAGGCAAGGGACCCTAAGGGCTTGTACAAACTTGCACGAGCTGGAAAGATTAAAGGTATCTTTCAAGAGTCGGAACAGAAATCTGACGTTATGAAATCTGGATGATGGGTTTTCCTTCCACCTTCTTCCTAATATTATTTTTGTGCGTGATCTTTCGAAACCATTTGTTTGTTGATTGTGAATCGAAGGCAGGTAAATCAAAAGTCTTGGAAAAAAACCATCTCCTTTAGGCAACTTCTCCTGCAGATGAACTCAGTTGTACCTAATAGACATTAGCACAGTTCTCATGAGCACTCTAGACAGGGGGAGGGGTGGTTTTGTTAGTTGTGAATCACTTTGAAGGATATCCTCTGGATCCTGTTAACATAATGTTGCCTTCAGTTTGTCATCTTGGGGAGTTCTATCATATTATATTACAGTTATGATTACTTGATCGCCTTATCACTAATCTATCCCTCCTGAGTTCCCTAATTTAATTTCTTAGACTAGAAATTCAACTTCCTTTTCACAGCTTTTTCGGAAGATAAAAATAAACACACTTACGATTGTGGCTGAAATCAAAGCTATATGAGGTGGACAAATTTCTCATTTTGCTTCCTTCTTCTCTGCACCTGCATCAGGTTTTAATTGTTAATTTAAATGTGTTTTTTTACTGTCACTTTTGCAGGATTTACAGGAATTGATGATCCATATGAGCCACCACTTAATTCTGAGGTATGTATCTCGTCGGAAGAGTTATCCTAGAGATATTGTTGCTTGAACTCACACAAACATGAGCATGCCCTTACATAGAAGAAATCGTGCTTTTAAAAGATATATTTATTCTGGTCTAAGTGATAGTCTCAACATTTTCTAAATCGGAGAGCCAACAATTGAAAGGAAGGAATTATATCTAAAGAGCTGCCAAATGATCAACTGTTCGAGTTGCATTGCAAACAACTTCTTATTCAGATAGGCCATGGTTTCTTCTTTCTTCTCCAATCTGTTTATGTTAGACTTTCCACCTTGCAGATAGTTTTACACCAGAACGGAGGGTCCTGTGATTCCCCAAGTGAATTGGCTGAAAAGGTGATTTCTTACTTGGAGGAGAAGGGGTACCTGGAAGGCTAGTTTGTAAATGCCTCATCCCTGGCTGTGGAACTTGTGTATACTGTAAGCTTCAGAAGTGGAAAAAAGCAAATTTATCGTGGTAAGGAAACTACTCGTTTCCTGTGTCCACGATTCAATCATATTTAGTGTTAAATTAATTAATCGATTGATTAATTACTCTCACCCTTCATTCTTATGTCATATGAGAGGTGATGTCTGTCTTACCAGTTGTTTGATTGCCATAAATTTGATAGAACCGTGGGTAAAAACTCATTGTAGGATTTGTATATTATATGAACAGGCTTATGGTTGTGGAATAAGAGGTTGCTTGAGATTTTCCAAATGCAGATCTCTATTAATTGTGCAAACACATGCTGTCTGGACTTGCAACATATCTATTTGATTAGAGACAAGGACAGAATTAGAACAGAAATGGAGAGGAATAGTTTGCTGACGAGAGAGGGGAAAAACACTCCCAATTGTGAAAATCACAGGAAAGCTACATCCTGCTGACCTCGTCCTAGAAACATGCCCAACACGCAGGACATAAGAGCCATGGTGAAGTTCCGAGCAACAGAAGTTACAGCCTCAAAAATGGCAGCAAAACGCAGTTCTCGCGAGCGCCAAAGCATTTCAATGCACTGACCCAAGCCATCCACCAGCGTTGCAATCAATATTGCCATCACCTAAAAGAAGAGACCAACCAAATGCACCACCACCTACACTACACTTCTTCTCTGCTTCAGATTCTAAAAAACTCTGGGTAAGAGAAATACTTTCTTCAGATCCAGATAGGGACAGAGCCCATTGATTCCCATTTGGAAGTTTTCCACCTACTTCTTAATCTGCATTCATATCGAGGAAAAAGCATATCATTAAATTACCATATAACACCTTGCACATAAATAGAAGGATAATTCTATGTGCACCAAATCAACGCTAGTTGTTAGATCAGTGATGGGACTCACTAATCCAACAGTTACAAGTGATTTGGTGCATATAAATAGAAAAGAATTGCAGGTATCACGCTGGTTGTTTTTGTTTACTCATACCCACTGTTACACAGTTGATCTTCTTCTTCTCTGTGGGGAGGCAGTTCTCAATGGGTCACCCATCAAACAAAATTCCTTTACGAATCCCTAGCTATTTGTGAGCTCACTCAGACCAGTTTGAACAATTTAGTATTTCCTCGTCAAACTGGTCAGTTCACAAAACGAACATTTTTTGATTTACATTTCTTTGGAAACCAGGATGATATCAACTACAAAACAAATCTGATAATCCCAACGTTTTTACCTGACAAAAGTACTTTAGAGTCCAAGGAGAAGTGTACATGGTAACTCTGAATATTACTGCAACTGCAAGTCTCATTTCATAAGGCTGGTCGATTCCAAGATAATGTTACAAATTTAGTTTTAATATCTATCCAGTTCAAAAAAATAATAATATCCCTCCAATTACTTATTGTTATGCCACAACTTCCATGCGATACTAATGCAGTAATGCTACAGGTTAATCAACCTGGAATTACCAATTGCCAGGACACTGTAACTTGTGTCACTGTAATTTGTTGCTCAGATCCTCTATTTGACATGAGAAAATGGCAATGGAGGTTCAGATGCTGTAAATAGCTAGCAGGTTGATTATTTGACCAGGGTACAGTTAGGCTTTGTAACCGAATGGTATGTGTTAACAATCTCAGAAGTTTACCTGCATATCTCTGGCTATAGAAGGTAGCCATCTCTCTCCCCTAATTCTTTTAAGTTCTGCTACTCTTTCTTCCTCTCTTTTAGCAGCTGTTTTAGCTGCTGCATCTCTAGTTTGTCGTCTGGCTAATGATTTCTGGCCAGCATCTCTTGCTGCAGCTATTATATCCATCCCATCAACAGCAACTGACCGGAGTTGACATCTAAACTGCAATCATCATTGCAGCAGTTTTGCAAAACCAACAAGTGAAATACAACTAAGAATGTTAAGATCATAAAATAAATGATAAATCAACCATAAACAATGTAGAAGACATCCATGAATAGGTAAACCTTAGTTGATTTTTCATCAATCCCTTTTCCAGGAAGGATCCTTGGCCTCTTTTTTGGTCCTTGAAGTTCATCTGTTTACATACACAAAACTTTTACTCCCTATATACAGCATGGAACATGGATTATGTAAATGCACCACAAAGTTGAGATCAGAATAGGAAAAAAAAATAACAAATAAAAAGGCCAACCCATTCATGACCCATGATCCTTTGAGCCAATCCTAAACAGGACCTAGAGAATTATATCTACTGGCAAGGTAAGAATCTTGCAATCCTCTGAAGTCACTGGCTGGTCCAGTTGTATCTGAACCATCAATACCAGATGAGCCTTACCATTTGATGGACCTGGGCGCTGCAAGTCTTAAGTGCGGTGACTTGCAGCTGAGCTGTGCAGAAGCTCATAAGTTTAGTTACATTGACAGATGTATGTTCCATATCTGGCAGTGAAACATAGTTAGTGCAGTCATTTTTGTTTTAACAACGCTGCTTTTTGATTAATTGCTTGAATTTACAATTTGATTTCACGGCCACTACTGACAGCAAACAGTATCAAGAGATCCACTCCTTGTCCCATTAAATGACAGAAGGTTATACTTGCATCATCTGCTTAAAATAAAGAAAGAAGGAACTTAAAAAATGCAATATTAACATTTTTTTCAGTTTTAGGACCCCAATCCTTCTAGTTGTAACATGTAAATAACAATGATGGAAATATTTGAGCAGATCTACTTACTTATGTGATCAAATATTATCCCAGGGGGAGCATGTTTAAACAATCGAATTCCACCACCATCCATCACAGGATCATCATCTGGGACATGAACAGGATCCCTCACCACTTCTATGGTCTTCTCAAGTATGTCATCCAGAACTTTTTGTGCCTGTCCAAGAGTTCATCATGTGCAAAGGTTGCAATGCAATTTATCAGAACAGTAAAAGGCACTGGGAGGTCAACATTTGCATGCTTGTATACAACAGATTCACTAAGGCTCTCTACACATCTAAATATGTGCATTTGAGCCAACAAAGTTTAGAGTTTAGACTTAAGCTTCCAATTACTAAAGCCCCACACATCGCAGTCATTTTCCATATAAAGTAGTCAATTTGTTCCAAAGAGAATGGCCAATGTTTCACTGGACACATGATGAAACAGATAATACTCCAAGTCTCCAACCATACTCCATGTCTCCAACCACTACTAAACCTATGTATGCAACAATTTCTATTGCAGTGGTTCCGTTTCTTAAAAGATGTAAAAATTTCCTTCAACATAGAACCGTGAAGGGAAAAACCATTCAAATCACCCACCATTGAAGAGTAAAGACTTAAAACTCAAGACCTGAGGACTAAAGACATTCAAGGAACCCCACATCACATGAACCACAAACAAGAGCCACATTCCAGTAAAAACATATTCGTTATGAAAACAGGCACTACTAAAAAGTACATGAGAGAGAGAGAGAGAGAGAGAGAGAGGAGAGAGAGAGAAGGGCAGTAGTCAAAAAACACAAAAGAAAATGATTTTTATGGAAAAGTTTCCACTAAAATCGTATTATTAGAAATATAAGAGCCTGGGACTAATGGAGAACTATAAAGAAAAAATATACTCTATTCTAACTTAGAATTCCAGTCTGAGACAGTAAAATGCTCCAAAATCACTCCAACAATTCCATCTCTGAAACAAAGGCAACCAAAATACCTTAATCTTGAACCTACACATGTATCAGCACAATTAAAAAGACAAGCTCGATTCGACCAAAAAAAAAAATATAGCTGATCTCCATTCTAGACAGCAGATTATGCATCCTCAACCCATTGTGCAAAAGTTAGGGTACTTGACATTGCATGCAACAGTTGCACACAAGACCAAATGCACTATCTCAATATGCTTGACAATGAATTGCTACATATGTATCATCCGCAGAAGTAGCTCTGAGAGTATCAGCCAAAGAAGAATGAAGGAGGCTAGCCAGGTTGGAAAAGATTAGTTGAAGGAAAAAGTCGAGAATGACGTGGTTAAGGGAGGGGGATAAGAACATAAAGTTCTTCCATCGAATAGCGAACGACGAGAAGAAGGTAAACACCATATCCAGACCGGAGGTAGAAGGGGTTGTTCTGGAGGAGGAGGAGGAAGCAATTTGATTAGCGGTCGAAAAGTTCTCAAAGCCTCAATACGAATGAAACTGTAATACAACCATCCATCGAAAAATCCATAAGAATGCACGGTTCTAAGAGTAAAACTCTAGGTTCAAATATGCAATGTCGCAGTATTCGTTGATCATCCATTAAATTCGAACAAAAGGCACAGCTACATACAGAATAACGAAATGGACAACACAGTGAGAGGAGAGAGAGAGAAAGAGACTGACCTTGACCTGGTAGTGTTTGAGGAGTTGAGGTTTGGGGTTCTCTAATTGAACGTTTGGGCTGGATGGGCTTTACGACTCGACGTTGAACCGTTGGAGGTAGAGGCAAGACCGTTGGCGGTGGATCGGGCTAAAAGAAGTGGTGGCCGCGACGGAATCGATGGCGGCTCTCCAATCGGCGTCTCCGTCATCCCTCTCCTCTGCTGCTTCTGCTTCGACCACCCCCGCCACCACCCATTTTTCGGCAGCAATTGCTGTTTTCTCCGCTGGGCCCGTGCCTAAGTTAAACTGGTTATTGGGCTCTCTCTCTGGGTGTTTTAGTTGTGGAGCAACACACTAGAAAAAACCCAATGGGCCATCTTCCATTTTCTCAGGAATTTCGATTCTCTCCAATTCAATTTTGTTTTTAATTTTTTCTTGGCAAATTATCGACTACTAATGTAGAAAAGACTCACTTGTATATAATAAATTATATTTTAAATGCATGGTCAATAACCGTCAATTTATATATACAGATATAGCCCCCTCAAAATCTAAAAATTATCATTGTCCCCCCTATATTTTTTAAAAAATTTATTGCTCACCTCTAACTTTTTAAAATACCCGATATGTAAGTGTCTCACTTAGTTCATTAAAAAATATCAATAGATGAGTGTCGTTTATACCAGGGGCGGCTTGAGCTTTAAATCCTATTTTTACAGAAGGCTTTAAATTTTTAGGTATCATAAATAGTTCATATAAAAAAATTAAATTCGTAAATACTTTAAGCCCTACAAAAAGACCTTATAAAAATACAAGTTCAATCAAAAAAAAATATAAAAATTAAGGCCTCATTTCAAGGAAAAGGCCTCATAATTTATAGGTGTACAGTAATAGGCTAAACAAAAAATTTAAATCCATGTCCAAACAAACATTTTCATTTTTAAATATGACCTATTGAGTCATATTAATTCAACTGTAAAATTAAAAAATCTTTAAATTTATTTTGTTTAAAAAAAAATTTCTATAAATTAAAGCTACTAAAAAATTTAGTTTTAATAACTC